TTCCATTGAAGGATGTGTCCAGCACCAGAAGCTGCGTTGGTTGGGACATGTGTTGCGTATGCCGAACCATCGTTTGCCGAAGAGAGTGCTGTTTTCCATGTCCAACTCAGAGTGGCGTAAACAGAGAGGTGGCCAACCCTTGACCTAGCAGAGGGGTATAAAGGAGATTACGAAACGTTTGGGTGCTGTCGGTGCTACTCACTGCATTTGGTTGGAGACGCTGCAAGATATTGCTTCTAACCTATGTCAGGGGCAATCTTATTTTCAGTTTCTATCCAGATTGCATGAATGAGTGTTTGGAGGTGTAGGCATCTCGGAATGACTATGGTAAGCTAGCACTAAGTGCCTTCCCCACCTACCAGGTCTATCGAAAATTGAACCGAAATTTCTCATAGACGCAAGGAAGAATGTACATTTTTCCGGTCGGAGGTGATAGCCGTATTCCTGGAATCGATCAAACACTGAGGTTAGGCGATGAAGGAGTTTCTCCTAATCAGTGGCTGCCACCATGATATCATCCAAGTACGCCACAACGGCTGTTAACCCACTAGGCATAGCTTCCATGATTTGTTGGAATATGGCTGGCGCCGTTTTTACTCCGAAGGGAAGACGATTGAACTGGAAAAAACCACAGTGTGTGTTAATGATTAGATACTTGGAATCCTTTGCATTATCTATTTGTGAAAAATACGTCAAGTCAAGTTTAGCAGAGCAGGTGCATCCGTTCAGTTTGGTAAACAGTCTTCTGGAACTGGTAAAGGATACTTGTGTGAATTGAGTACAGTTGCAACTGGCGTAGATAGTGAAGCTATCATCTTTCGCCATGAGTGATCGGCCATCAAGGGATAAAAGTCCTCCAGTCCCAAAATTACTCCGTGTTCTTTGAACCTTGCACAGAAATTATATTGCCTATCTGGTTCTCTCAATGGAATCTATGAACAACAGCCCAGCCAGTTGTGGACAGCTCGATTTGCTATGTCTCGATTTCATCATTGATGATTTTGCTTTTACTGTTCTATTTTATTTGAAGGCAACTGACCTCAGCTTAATAGTACTAGTCTGGAAAAATGCTTTCCAAGAAGTGGTGCTGCCGCCTTCTCACTGCCTCCATAATGGTATGGGCTTCTGATTGTACAGAAGAGTGATGTCATTCGACAGGGTTTGAGGCGGAGAAAGCTGTAGGTTTACTTTCCTGACTCAGCGATGTTCTAGTAAGAACATAGGGCGTGTCCATTTCTATATATCGTTCACCTGTAAAACCCTTTCGGTGCCTGCCTGCCATGCCACTCGAAGGAGTCACGAGGGATGGACTACTGTCAGATGCTACCACAGAAAATGCCGTTATCTATCCCAAATTCATGCTGCCGAAAAGCTCTTGGGGAACTGATCATGGCGTAGCAATCAGAGCTGAAAACGGCTATAGATAATCTGAGTGCCGTGAGTTCAGCGCCTTTTAGGCCGTGTCCTGCGGGATTACCCTTACACGTGGTCGCCGGTCCTATGATTCTGCGCACATATCCCACCTCAACTGGCGAGCCTGCTGTAGTTTCGTAACCAGAGTTTACCATTATGTACTGGGCTTGTGATGGTTCGTCAGGGATTTTAGACACGTCGCCATTGGCGTCTTGCCCTGACATGTGCTAATTTATTTTCGCTCGAAGATGCCATCATACTCCTGGTAGTTTTCTTCAGTCTTTTTTCTCCCAAGTCCCACTCTCATTTCTCCTCTTAACTGGGGTTTTTCGTTCCTGATGTGTATAGTAGTTAAGCGTCAGTATGAACTACTGATGAATTGCTGGCGATCATTAAATGATGTCTTCATTTGAACTACGATACCCTATCCTTGCTCACTTCTGCTATCAAGTTCCAACAGGACACACCTTTATCACCATCCCAAACTATCATTTCTGGATGAACGTATTCCTATCATTGTCATCGTCAGCAGTAGCACAAAATGAGACTACTGATGCTTCAATTCCGTACGAACATGCCGATTTGTTTGAGTAAATTTCTGTAACGAAAAAGATGGGACAGGGCGGAGGACCTAGGTCCAGCCCACAACAACTATCCGGGGTGCTCACACTTCTGTCACTCAGTCAGACAATCTGGATAGAAACCTAAGTATACATGCCACTCACGTCGGTTAGCCGCCAGATCGTTCAGTGCTTTTTATCAAGAGCAGGGAGGTTCACGTGGACATTCTGGAACATAAACAGTACCCAAATATGTTCTTACTGTGGCTCCAAATACCTTCATGTATTTATCTGCTACCTCATTTCGATTAGTCTAATATCAGTTACCCAGTTAGTTGTGTATGTCATGGTTGCAGGAGGGCTGGAATATTGCCAGGGCGCCCACACCTAGACAGGAGGACGATTAGGATCCTCAATCAAAGCCTTTGGCTCAAAAGCCTAACCGCAAGGCAGTGGTGTTCGGCTGGAAATGCAAGGACATTGCCATTTTTACGGAACACGTTGCCATACATGTTCCAACCCCCAACCTGGAGGACCAGGAAACTGCGTTCGTCAGACCTCTACCCATGGACCAACCCGGTATGAGAGACTCTGTGAGTGTCGCGCGGACACCCTCCAGTATAGCTCAATGGGTCTCCGAGGTACACGAACCGCTACACCACGGTAAGATCCAGTCTCCTCGTGACGGCGGTGAAGCATCAGTGCCAACGCTGATGTTGCTGTCTTTGATGATGATGATGATTTACTCGGTACAAAGTAATCGTTTACCAAAGGACGTCGCTGAAGTGCGTGATACTACGGAGGGTGGCGCTTTATAGTCTCCGCGCCAATGGTTTGATTTTACGATAGTTTTATGCCTAAGTCATGGACAATTATACCGAAAGAGCGAAACTCACTGGGTAGCATCCCCGTAAATAATATGATACGGTACAGTACGGTAGATTGCCAGTGTGGTATTCTAGTTCATGATGTACTTGCCAGCATCTCACTATAACCAGTTGTCATCGAGTTAGTGAGGTGGGCTAGCGTATAATGGTATCATATCTGTAGTCTTCACTTATTGTCCCGTTTTTTCGCATCTACAGCACTGAATTCCTCTGCTCATCTTACCGATTTCTCAGGAACCCTTAAGATCGATATTGTTTTCCTTGTAAATTGGCCGTTTGATTTTCACATTCATCTTCAGAAAGTGCTCATTAACCGGATAAATCAAATACACAAGCAATGGATTTGGGTGTGACGGAACTGGCCACTTGTTTGCAAAACACACTTTCACAGGATCAGTCTGAGAGGAAAAAAGCAGAAGTATACCTCAAATCAGTGGAAGGGCAACCGTCTTATTCGCTGTGCCTTCTTGGGATCGTTCTCAATGAGTCACTACCCATGCCAACCAGATTAGCAGCGGCAATTACCTTCAAGAATTTCGTTAAGAGTTACTGGAAAGCGGTAAGTAGGCCACTTCTTTTTTCGGAGGCAATTTGTAACTTGTAGTCTCTTTAAGTTCCAATCAGCCACAGTGGTTATTCAACTGGCGCTCCTCTACATCATTACCCATCTGGATGGCTAGCAGACTGCCTCGGGTATTGACAAAGCTGGACTTTCTGGCTTGGCATAGACGTTAAACCCCTGGCGCTCCTATCATTACCCATCTGGATGGCTAGCAGACTGCCTCGGGTATTGACAAAGCTGGACTTTCTGGCTTGGCATAGACGTTAAATAAAC